CTGTGCATCCGTAGATGCGCCGGGGCTCCATGGGAAGGGTCAAGCAGCACATACTAGCGGTTACCTCAAAGGTGCCACAGGACCCTCTGTTGCTTTTTACAGATTCAGACTAACACGGCTACCCCTCTGATACTAGAGATAGAGAGGTTGCATACCTGGTACAGTGGGCACCACTTACACTGGACATTTGCCACCTACTGTGTAGGGATCAGAGGTATGTCCTATTCCTAGTGTACCAGACTCCGCAAATATTAGTGAAGTTACAGTGGGGTAAACAGTTTCTACAAATAGTGCCCCTGTGTCGAAGTCCTATTCCCATTCTACAGCAGGTGTATTTTAAAGGCTTTCAGGTGCCTTAACAAACTGTTGGGTCTAAATCACACCCTTTAATACTACATAAATAGTATTTTGTAGCTTAGTAGCGTTGAGGAGATCCTGTCTGACTCATCTTCCCAGCCACAACATAGATTTGTTTAATACTTACCTATTCTCAGCTGCCTTCTCATTCTGTTGGCAAGATAGAGTTCAACCTGGACAAGGCTAAAAATGCATGACTGTGATTTAACTAAAGGTTGACAATTGCAACTTTATTTTTGAGTGTGCAACTAATTCCTTTTCCAAATCTATAATTTCTTTAGTCTGAATTTTCAGAGTGTTAAATTTGCCAGACCCTTTAAAGTGCTACTTCATCTTTCACATAAATGAATGTAGTATGCATCCCAATCTGGGTCTATGCTGGGTATGCAGTATGTATATATCTTATGAACCTTGTAACTGACACTTGTAATCCCTCATAACCCAAGCCTTACCCCAGATGTACAGTACCTTCCTTCTTAACTTGTGTAAATTTGATTTTAAACATTAACTTTAATAATTTTTTTTATCTTTAAATCTGTTACTACCTAGGTAAACTTGTCCTTTTGAGAATGTGGTTGGAATTCCTTTCATGCCAAAGGTCTGATATCTGACCTTTCTTGAGGAGGTGTCCCCTCTGAATTCAGCTACTCTTGTGCTTTTTCTCATTATATACATTAAACCATACATACAGTACCTGATTTTATTATTATTATTATTTATTATTTAAGACAAACATAAATGCATAGTTTGCTTAAGGCTCTGTCATGATGTTAGAGACTGATGCCTCTCTAGGTCCCTTTCTAAGGGTATACTCAAACAGTTGTTCTAAATTGCATTATTTACTAGATAGTTCTATGAATACAAAAACTGAAATCTCCCAGCATTGAAGAGACATCAATGCCACAAAAAATCTGAATCTCCAGTATATTGTCAAATGCTGCTAGAATAACAATTTATTTAATATTGCTGAGCAAGTCATAAAAAAAAGGAATTTACAATAAATCAAAAGTAGAGAGTTCATTAAATAAGTATCGTCAGTATTTAAATATGATAAACTAATAATATGACAGTTGCCTCCTAAAACTTTTGTGGCCGTACTCCATTAAGGTGAGCCATAAAAAGTGTAGGGGAATTTTACTGACAGTTTAGACCCCACTCTTACAAATTGCGGACCTCTGGGCCCTTGTGGGGTCCCATAGACCTCAGAGCTCAGATCTGGTTGCAGAAGTGGGGTCAAAATGTGCATTAGCTGTAAAGTACAGAAATATTATGAATTCATGTCCCCTTGAAATTCAGCTAATTTAAAATTTGTCTGATTGCTGTTACCTTTTGTATAACCCCTTACAAGCAGAATCAAAATCTAGTTTTGAATTTAATGTTTTTTTTCCCCATTAGGTTCTGTATAAGGAAAACTACAAAGCACTAATATGGGAAAGAAGCGAGCAAAGGGAAAAAACATACAGGCTGATGATGAGTCTCAAGATATTTTGGGTATGTTTCATAACAAAATATTTTCATAGAAAGACTGTAGTGCTGTGGAAGAAATGTTTCATCTGTCTTGAAAGTGAGGAGCATTGAAAACCCATTAATAACCAGAAGGCATTTACAGTAGTCACTTTTACTTCTTTGAATATTTGATTGTAAAGAATGAGTTTACTCAGCTGAAACTTAAGTTCTTCAGAAAGCTTCAGTATTGCTTCTTAAACTTGGTAGGAAATCTATAAAATGTCAAAGATTCAATGTTTACTGTCATATAGGTCCAATCCTGAAAACCTTTTCTCAGTAGTCATTTCAATTTACATGGAAATGCCCCAGAATCCTATGAGACATTCATGGTATAAAGGGCCTGCAGAGCCAGGCCCCGTATGTGTAATGGAAAGTTTCTGGATACAGTTTTTTCATTTCTGGGTGGATCGGTATGCTAACAGTAAAAGAGTATGAATCAAAATGCACAATTATAAATGCGTATGTCATTTCAGAGAAATTATTATTTCTTGTAATAGCAGCATCTTACTCCATCTGGCTTCGGAGGTCAACGCTGCCTCAGTTTCCTCACTGCCATTTATCTTCCATGAACTTGCAGGCTACCATAACACTTTTTGACCTTCTGGTCAAAAGTCCACCCCTCTTTCAGAGTAAAATGAAGTTCTGAAATGAGCATAATCCGTCCTTTCAGCTTCATTACAGGATCCCAGCCCTGCTTCAAAGGTCAGTTTTCCCCAAGCTGTAGCTTTTCTTTTTGTATACTCTTCCACCAGGCTCTAAATAGTTCTTCAGTGCCCTTGTTTACCCCACTGGTGCAGGGTGTTTCTATGCACCTCTCTAAATAGTGCCATAGGTGGGGACCAATGCCCACTTTCCCTCTCTGTCCTATAGGTTTCCACCTCGAGACCCTAATGCCATAGGCTGTCTGCCCGGAATTCCAAACTACATTGTTTCTGTTTCCCAGGGCCACTTCCTATAGTGACCTCAATCTAGTCTCCCTTGCAGTCTCTCTTTGGCCAGCTCCCTTGCTGGAGAGCTACATTCCCGGGTCAGCTCTCCAGGAAGAAGTCATCTATGGGAAAGTCTTGTAGCCATCATCCTTCTTTGAATCTCTCTCCTTGACTGAGCTGAAGGCCTCTCTTTGTATATTGTAGCCCTGTAGGTTACATGACTGTCACTTGATCTCTGGGCCCTGAGCAGGGAGGTAGGCTAAACAGGCACAGGTAAGGTTGCCCAACTCCCTAAAAGGTGCCAGCTCACCTGTGTTATTTCTGTCTCATAACCCAAAATGGAAGTTAACTTACAGAAAATAAGTAACGCTGGAAGTTGTCAGTAACTTAACTTTTAGTTGCATTGAATATGCAAGACTTTTGAACAAAAAATTTATTTAAATTGGACTTGTTGTAGACAAACCAAAGGCTACTAATGTTTTAATCTGTGCAGACAAACATCTATCCCAGGCTGTATTATTATTTAGCATTTGTATTATGGTAGCAGCCTGAATCCCCAGTCAATACCATAATTCCAATGTGTTAGGCACTCTACATCTAGCAAGACTGAGTCACTGCCATGAAGTTCTTACAGTCTAGGGCTATAGTCCTGCCAACTGCTCCAGGCAAAGGAGAAAGATTTTAGAGCTATTATTAATTGACTTGAACAATAAAAAAAAAATCCAATTT